ATGGGCCATTTATAACGGTTTGTAGTGTTAACATCTGGCACAATTGCCAGAAAATAGCCTAACATTCGTTTTTTAACCTCTACGGGATCGGTGTCCCGTATACGGGACGGTTAAGCTAACGTGCGCTAATGTGATTAGTATGACTGTTGTATGTAACAGCAAACTTTCCAGGACATAGACATGTCTTATATGGGCAGAAAGCTTACATTCTTGTTAATCTAACTGCACTGTCCAATTTACAGTAGCTATTACAGTGAAAAAACACCATGCTATTGTTTGAGGTGAGTGCACAAAAAAAAAACTTAGCACGGCAAATGGTTTCATACATTCCCCTCTGAAGGTAAATAATGTACTTACATTCAGTAATCTTGCTCTGATTTGTCATCCTGAGGGTCCCAGAGATAGAATATAGCATAGTTTTGTTTGATAAAATCAATTTTGTTATTCAAATGTAGGAACTGGATTCTACAATTTGAACCCTTGCTGTCTCTGGCTCCACACCCACCCCGCACGGCCATTTAGATGTGTGGAAGTTAGTGTATAAGCTAATGATTCATCATGTATGACATTCCTGGGAGTGTGTAAACTTACATTTTGTATTACCACATCATTTTTGTATGTTCTTTATAGTTATGTATCAAATGTATCAATTGACCAATTCGGCACATTTGGGCAGACTTGATACAAATAGTCCAGTATTGCAATGCTTCACTGGATCAATCTGAAACTTTGCACACATACTGCTGCCATCTAGTGGCCAAAATCTAAATTGCGCCTAAACTGCAATATTATATTGTGACCTTTCTCTTGCATTTCAAAGATGGACTCAACTCTCCTGTCGGATTTATCTATAGTTATGCACATGTGCAAAAGGGATTTATTTACAATTATAAAACTGGTTCGATCCCTCAATGCTGATTGGCTGATGACCGTGGTATATCAGACCATATACTTTATAATAGCAATAAGGCACCCCGGGGGTTTGTGGTATATAGCCAATATACCACGGCTAACGGCTGTATCCAGGCCCTCCGCGTTGCGTCAAGCTTAAGAACAGCCCTTAGCCGTGGTATATTGGCCATATACCATACCCCATTGTGCATTATTGCTTAATCATAGCAGTCAAACGAGTTTAACAACATCCATTGATGGAAAACTTATATTTTCTCTTGCGACATATTCAAATTCCTTTATTATGTCATGTCATAGCTCAAAATAATTATTATTTTGAGGAAAACCGAATTTTGCTTACAAGTTACTACACTATTCCTTCTTAACTGGCTCAATAACGTTATGGAAAAAGGGTTTATTGTATAAATATGGCAACTCCTCTTGCTGTGTAAAAACATGTTGGGCTAGTTTTCAGGCCTTTTGGGGCGGGTTTTTGAGTTGTCATTGGGCAGGAAATCTTAGCTTCATCTGGCAACCCTGAGTACTGCCCAGTACATCACTGGGGCCGAGCTCCCTGCCCTCCAGGACCTCTATACCAGGTGGTGTCAGAGGAAGACCCAAAAAATTGTCAAATACTCCAGCCACCCAAGCCATAGACTGTTCTCTCTACTACCGCATGGCAATCGGTACCAATCTAGAACCAACAGGACCCTGAACAGCTTTTACCCCAAAGCCATAAGACTGCTAAACACAACTGCTTAATAGCTAATCAGCTTAGTAGCTTCTCCAGCTATATCTCGCTACTCCACTGACTTTGAATCATATGAAAGGGGCTTATGGTAGAGGAGAGGAAGAGAGGAAAAAAGACTGACTCTGAGTTTTTATAAGCTGGATGGTTCAAGCCCTGAATGCTGATTGGCTGACAGCCGTGGTATATCAGGGGTATGACTAAACAAATAATTTTACTACTCTAATTAAGTTGGTAACCAGTTTATAATAGCAATATGGCACCTCGGGGGGTTTGTGGTATATGGCCAATATACCACGGCTAAGGGCTGTATCCAGGCACTCCGTGTTGTGTCGTGCTTAAGAACAGATTGGCCATATAACACACCCCCTTGGGCCTTATTGCTTAAATATATTGTATCTATAGTGCCAGGTTCGCTGCTGAAAACCCTGTTGCCTTAGAAAACCTGTCTTGTTCTATTTGTCCTTTCACTCTTGCTTTACTTTTAGTAGAACGTCAGGTTCGAGAGCTATGAATGGAACCAGTTTCTAGTGATAGCAAGACTAGGAGATAGAATAAATAAATGAAAAACCTCTTTCAGCCACTGATGATGCAATAGCATATGGGTCGTTCCACCAATTACAGTGCCTTCAGAAAGTATTCATACCCCTTGATTTATTCCACATTTTGTTGTGTTACAGCCTGAATTTAAAATTGATTAAATTGAGATTTTTGTCACTGGCCTACACACAATACCCCATAATGTCAAAGTGGAATTCTGTTTTTCGCAAAACGACACCAGATTCAAAAATTAGAATCTTTCAATTTAAATTATTATATAAAATTCTTGCTACCAATAGAATGTTATTTATATGGGGGATACAATCTTCCCAGCTCTGCAGATTTTGCTGTGAAGAGACAGAATCATTAGATCATTTGTTTTGGTTCTGTCCATTTGTAGATTGTTTTTGGACACAGGTCCAGGAATGGCTAAAGGATTGCAATATTTACCTGGAGCTAACCTTGCAGATAGCATTACTGGGTGATCTGAAAAGTCATAGTCAATCAATCAATAATATAATAATACTTTTAGCAAAAATGTTTATTTTTAATTCACAATCTGTAGAAGCAATGAGAATAGAAAGGTTCAGAACTTTTGTAAAACATCACAGTATGGTTGAAATATACAGTGAGGGAAAAAAGTATTTGATCCCCTGGTGATTTTGTACATTTGCCCACTGACAAAGACATGATCAGTCTATCATTTTAATGGTAGGTTTATTTGAACAGTAAGAGACAGAATAACAACAAAATTATCCAGAAAAACGCATGTCAAAAATGTTATAAATTGATTTGCATTTTAATGAGGGAAATAAGTATTTGACCCCTCTGCAAAACATGACTTAGTACTTGGTTGCAAAACCCTTGTTAGCAATCACAGAGGTCAGACGTTTCTTGTAGTTGGCCACCAGGTTTGCACACATCTCAGGAGGGATTTTGTCCCACTCCTCTTTGCAGATCTTCTCCAAGTCATTAAGGTTTCGAGGCTGACGTTTGGCAACTCGAACCTTCAGCTCCCTCCACAGATTTTTTATGGGATTAAGGTCTGGAGACTGGCTAGGCCACTCCAGGACCTTAATGTGCTTCTTCTTGAGCCACTCCTTTGTTGCCTTGGCCGTGTGTTTTGGGTCATTGTCATGCTGGAATACCCATCCACGACCCATTTTCAATGCCCTGGCTGAGGGAAGGAGGTTCTCACCCAAGATTTGATGGTACATGGCCCCGTCCATCGTCCCTTTGATGCGGTGAAGTTGTCCTGTCCCCTTAGCAGAAAAACACCCCCAAAGCATAATGTTTCCACCTCCATGTTTGATGGTGGGGATGGTGTTCTTGGGGTCATAGGCAGCATTCCTCCTCCTCCAAACACGGCGAGTTGAGTTGATGCCAAAGAGCTCCATTTTGGTCTCATCTGACCACAACACTTTCACCCAGTTCTCCTCTGAATCATTCAGATGTTCATTGGCAAACCTAAGACGGCCCTGTATATGTGCTTTCTTGAGCAGGGGGACCTTGCGGGCGCTGCAGGATTTCAGTCCTTCACGGCGTAGTGTGTTACCAATTGTTTTCTTGGTGACTATGGTCCCAGCTGCCTTGAGATCATTGACAAGATCCTCCCGTGTAGTTCTGGGCTGATTCCTCACCATTCTCATGATCTTTGCAACTCCACAAGGTGAGATCTTGCATGGAGCCCCAGGCCGAGGGAGATTGCCAGTTCTTTTGTGTTTCTTCCATTTGCGAATAATCGCGCCAACTGTTGTCACCTTCTCACCAAACTGCTTGGCGATGGTCTTGTAGCCCATTCCAGCCTTGTGTAGGTCTACAATCTTGTCCCTGACATCCTTGGAGAGCTCTTTGGTCTTGGCCATGGTGGAGAGTTTGGAATATGATTGATTGATTGCTTCTGTGGACAGGTGTCTTTTATACAGTTAACAAGCTAAGATTAGGAGCACTCCCTTTAAGAGTGTGCTCCTAATTCAGCTCGTTAGCTGTATAAAAGACACCTGGGAGCCAGAAATCTTTCTGATTGAGAGGGGGTCAAATACTTATTTCCCTCATTAAAATGCAAATCAATTTATAACATTTTTGACATGCGTTTTTCTGGATTTTTTTGTTGTTATTCTGTCTCTCACTGTTCAAATAAACCTACCATTAAAATTATAGACTGATCATTTCTTTGTCAGTGGGCAAACGTACAAAATCAGCAGGGGATCAAATACTTTTAAGCCTACAGGATTTTCAGGGGACCTTCCAAACATTATTACAAAAAAGTGCAAGTTAACTCATCAGTTGATAATGAAAGCCTTTGATCTCCCACAGTTAACTCCATCTGATTTGCAACAGGGATGAGATTCCCAAAACAAAAAGGTTTCAAAAACATTCACAGATAGTTAGTTGACTCCAGATGCCTCTGTACACTGTCACCTAACCAGATGTGCAACATTGGAACCATACTGTAACATAATGTAGCATCAGAAGAAGTGATAGTAGTTTCAAGATCATCCTTAAATCCTTACTCAACCTTAACTCACTCCAAGGTTTCCTTCTTACCAGTGCAAGAAAACTTTTGTTGTTGATAGTTTATTGCATTTTCTTTTGTCTCACTTAGATATTGTGGCACTTTGTTTTTAGGCACAGTACGTCCAATATAGTTTCACTGGACATTATAATTCTTCCATTAGTTTATCCCCCCTCCCAAATATACTCTTCTCCCTCTCCATAAACATACACTTTTACAATGAAGGATGGAAGAGGAGTGACCTACCCTCTGGAGAAGCAGAGTCAAATCAACTCTCAACTATTTCACAACCTCTCAATAACCTTCTTACGACTTGTTGTTAAACATCACATCCTCAAACTTGACTATCCTCCCTCCTTCAGTCTCCACCTCTGTTTGCTCCCAAGTCTCCACTTCACCATTCCTTTGCTCATAGCGGCGGATTCGCACCTTGCCCGTTGTGGGGAGTGGGCATGGGAGACCCTTCGACGCCTCTTTGTAGAGAAGCTGTTTCATGACATCTTGACTGGGTTGAGCCATGCCTGATGGAACCAGTGCATTACCCTGGTCTACCTTTGGATGGGGAGACGGTGAGTTCTTGACTTCAGGCTTTGGAGAGGCTGCCCGCTGTACAGGTTGTGGTTGCAGTGTCGTCTTGACCTCAGTCTTGACCTCAGTCTTTGGCAAGGCTGCACGCTCCCATCTTGACGGGGAAGGTGAACGCTGTACGGGTTGTGGTTGCAGTGTTGTCTTGACCTCAGTCTTGACTTCAGTCTTTGGCAAGGCTGCACGCTCCCATCTTGACGGGGAAGGTGAACGCTGTACGGGTTGTGGTTGCAGTGTTGTCTTGACCTCAGTCTTGACCTCAGTCTTTGGCAAGGCTGCACGCTCCCATCTTGATGGAGAAGGCGCTCGCACAGGAGCTCGCACTAGCGTCTTGACATCAGGCCTTGGTGAGGCTGTGCACTCAGCTCTTGATAGAGGGGGTGAACGCTGTACAGGAGCTTGAGGACGTGGCGATGTGTCTTTTACCTCAGTGTGAGGAAAGGGTGTCGGAAGATGTCCTCTTTGTTGCTCCCCGGTGTTGCCACCTCCCCCTGCCCTTCGTATCTCTGGCATGATCCCGGCCATGGTGGCTCGCACTGTGGGGTCGCTCTGCACCATCCTACAGACAGCATTACAGTACTGCTGGCCTTGGAGACTGAGGATCTCATGGATCTTAGCCGGACAGACGCTGGGGGTGTGCAGCCTGACTCTGGCACAGAGTTCAGCGATGATTTTACCCATAGCCCACACGTCCGAACGCTGGTCTCGGTGGCCCCTCCTCTGCAGGACCTCAGGTGGAGAGTAGGCCTCGTTGCCCATATCCACGGCAGAATTTAGGCCATTGCGGAAGAATTTGGCCAGTCCCATATCAATGATCACAGCTCGGTGAGTGTCATGCTCTACCTGGAAGAGATCATTTGAGAGGGGTGGAAAAGTATTGTTTTATATCAAATCTAAGCATTTAGCGTGATAATGTCCTTTATTCTCATTAATGAAGAACATTAAAACAACAAAAACTATTTTAATGCCTGTCTCACCATGATGTTCTCAGGCTTGAGGTCCTGATGGACGATATCTTTGCTGTGTAGGTGAAGTAGTCCTTCACACATGCCTGTGATGATGGTGGCCTTTATAGATGGAGTTAACTGTGGGAGATCAAAGGCTTTCATTATCAACTGATGAGTTAACTTGCACTTTTTTGTAATAATGTTTGGAAGGTCCCCTGAAAATCCTGTAGGCTTAAATACTTATTTATCAAATATATTTAGATATATAAGAGTTTTTCTATGTGAACTTTCGTCAACACTGTCGCATGCATGTTTGGTGGCAGCAGTGGGATCCATAGACCTACCTGTATTTTAGATTTTTGTGATTTGAAGATGGTTGTCTCCAGTTCCTCTCCAAATATGAACTCCATGGGGATGATCCACTTAGAGTCCTTGAGTGTTGGATTACCCAGAAGCTTCACTATGTTAGGGTGAATTGCCTTACTGGAGTCCCAAGTCACAGAGAGAGTGTGAAAGAAAATGGAGAGAAAGGGTTATGAGGGCATTGGAGTCTACCGACAGCACAACTAAGCACTTCTGTAGTGACCTTCTTCATCAGCACCTTCATCAACACCATATCTCCTATATCAAAGCAAAATCCAAGAAGATACCATATTTTCCCCCTTTGTTTCTCCTAGACACAAATGAGCTCTCTTTAAACACCAAAATGAGACTAAGAGCATTTTCTCATATTTCTACATTTCTACTTAAGAGAAACAACCACATACACTATATATACAAAAGTATATTGGCAGTAGAATGGTTTTACTGACGAGCTCAGTGACTTTCAACGTGACACCGTCATAGGATGCCACCTTTCCAACAAGTCAGTTGGTCAGATTTCTGCCCTGCTAGAGCTGCCCTGGTCAACTGTAAGTGCTGTTATTGTGAAGTGGAAATAACAACGGCTCAAATCAAATCAAATCAAATTGTATTTGCCACATGCGCCGAATACAACAGGTGTAGACATTACAGTGAAATGCTTACTTACAAGCCCATAACCAACAATGCAGTTTAAGAAAAAAAATAGCAAATAATTAAAGAGCAGCAAAAATAAAATAACAGTAGGGAGGTACCGGTACAGAGTCAATGTGCGGGGGCACCGGTTAGTCGAGGTAATCGAGGTAATATGTACATGTGGGTAGAGTTAAAGTGACTATGCATACAGTGGGGAAAAAAAGTATTTAGTCAGCCACCAATTGTGCAAGTTCTCCCACTTAAAAAGATGAGAGAGGCCTGTCAACTATGACAGACAAAATGAGGAAAAAAAATCCTGAAAATCACATTGTAGGATTTTTAATGAATTTATTTGCAAATTATGGTGGAAAATAAGTATTTGGTCACCTACAAACAAGCAAGATTTCTGGCTCTCACAGACCTGTAACTTCTTCTTTAAGAGGCTCTTCTGTCCTCCACTCGTTACCTGTATTAATGGCACCTGTTTGAACTTGTTATCAGTATAAAAGACACCTGTCCACAACCTCAAACAGTCACACTCCAAACTCCACTATGGCCAAGACCAAAGAGCTGTCAAAGGACACCAGAAACAAAATTGTAGACCTGCACCAGGCTGGGAAGACTGAATCTGCAATAGGTAAGCAGCTTGGTTTGAAGAAATCAACTGTGGGAGCAATTATTAGGAAATGGAAGACATACAAGACCACTGATAATCTCCCTCGATCTGGGGCTCCACGCAAGATCTCACCCCGTGGGGTCAAAATGATCACAAGAACGGTGAGCAAAAATCCCAGAACCACACGGGGGGACCTAGTGAATGACCTGCAGAGAGCTGGGACCAATGTAATAAAGCCTACCATCAGTAACACACTACGCTGCCAGGGACTAAAATCCTGCAGTGCCAGACGTGTCCCCCTGCTTAAGCCAGTACATGTCCAGGCCCGTCTGAAGTTTGCTAGAGTGCATTTGGATGATCCAGAAGAGGATTGGGAGAATGTCATATCGTCAGATGAAACCAAAATAGAACTTTTTGGTAAAAACTCAACTCGTCGTGTTTGGAGGACAAAGAATGCTGAGTTGCATCCAAAGAACACCATACCTACTGTGAAGCATGGGGGTGGAAACATCATACTTTGGGGCTGTTTTTCTGCAAAGGGACCAGGACGACTGATCCGTGTAAAGGAAAGAATGAATGGGGCCATGTATCGTGAGATTTTGAGTGAAAACCTCCTTCCATCAGCAAGGGCATTGAAGATGAAACGTGGCTGGGTCTTTCAGCATGACAATGATCCCAAACACACCGCCCGGGCAACGAAGGAGTGGCTTCGTAAAAAGCATTTCAAGGTCCTGGAGTGGCCTAGCCAGTCTCCAGATCTCAACCCCATAGAAAATCTTTGGAGGGAGTTGTAAGTCCGTATTGCCCAGCAACAGCCCCAAAACATCACTGCTCTAGAGGAGATCTGCATGGAGGAATGGGCCAAAATACCAGCAACAGTGTGTGAAAACCTTGTGAAGACTTACAGAAAACGTTTGACCTGTGTCATTGCCAACAAAGGGTATATAACAAAGTATTGAGAAACGTTTGTTATTGACCAAATACTTATTTTCCACCATAATTTGCAAATAAATTCATTAAAAATCCTACAATGTGATTTTCAGGATTTTTTTTTCTCATTTTGTCTGTCATAGTTGACGTGTACCTATGATGAAAATTACAGGCCTCTCTCATCTTTTTAAGCCTACAGGGAGGAGGTGAGTGCTCTGGGAGTGTGGTGCCAGGAAAATAACCTCTCAGTAATAAACAGAGTAGCAGCAGCGTGCTGAAGCGTTTAGTGCGTTAAAATCGTCTGTCCTCGGTTGCAAAACTCACTACCGAGTTCCAAACTGCCTCTGGAAGCAATGGAAGCAACGTCAGCACAGGAACTGTTAGTCGGGAGCTTAATGAAATGGGTTTCCATGGTCGAGCAGCCGCACAAAAGCCTAAGATCACCATACGCATTGCCAAGCATTGGCTGGAGTGGTTGGACTCGCCGCCATTGGACTCTGGAGCATTGGAAACGTGTTCTCTGGAGTGATGAATCACACTTCACCATCTGGCAGTCTGATGGACAAATCTGGGTTTGGCGGATGCCAAAAGAACACTACTTGCCTCAATGCATAGTGCCAACTGTAAAATTTGGTTGAAGAGGAATAATGGTCTGGGGCTGTTTTTCATGGTTCGGGCTAGGCCCCTTAGTTCCAGTGAAGGGAAATCTTAATGCTACAGCATACAATGACATTCTAAACGATTCTGTTCTTCCAACTTTGTGGTAAAAGTTTGGGGAAGGCCTTTTCCTGTTTCAGCATGACAATGCCCCCGTGCACAAAGAGAGGTCCATACAGAAATGGTTTGTCGAGATCGGTGTGGAAGAACTTGACTGGCCTGAACAGAGCCCTGACCTCAACTCAATCGAACACCTTTGAGATGAATTTCAGTGCCAGTTAGCTAGCTAGCCAGAGATTCACTCACTGCGGTCTTTTCAAATGTTAAGCCTCTACGCAATATTAGCTGTGATTTCAACAAGACTTTCAACAAAGTAGACTACAAAATGACTTAGAAAGAACTGAGGAATGGGAATAATTTACACAACATGTCTAATGTTAGTGTTTGAACATAAAATGTTTGCTGTACATTTTTATTTTTTTTAGCTAGCTAGCTAGCAAACATCAGCTGTATTTTGGATAACTTTAGCTAGCTACACATGCTAACATAGTTTTTTAGATATAGCTAGTTAGCTAGTCAAGGTGAGCCGAAGAATCTGCCTAGCTAACTTTACAGTTTGTTAATGTAGCTAGCTAGTTAATTATCTAAATCATAACTAGAGGGTTGAAAATATAGTTATACTAACGTTAGCCAGCTAGCTAAATAAAGCTAACGTTAGCAATTTGCCAATCGTACAGTGTGTTACAAATTTGAAAAACGTATGATATGTTACGAATTTAAATGATATGGATAACATTAGCTTGGTGGCTAATGCTAATGTTAGCTAGGTGACCAGAGTTAGCTAGGCTAGGGGTTAAGGTTAAAGGGTTAAAGTTAGGGGAAGGGTTATCTAGAGTAGCAGCAGCGTCCTGAAGCGTTAGGTTAAAATGCTAAAATCTTCCGTGATGAGTTCGGGTTATTAGATGTTCGCGTTATACTCCTACCCATCCACCCTGACCAACCACTCTAATTTTGTTTTTGCCTGAAGTAACCTTCTGTCTTATGTAACCATACCAAACGTAACATATCATACTAAATTGAGTGGCCCGGATTTACGTTTACTATGTTACGTCTAGTCTATGAAACCAGGCTGATAGACTGTGCATTGTTACCTCTCAAATTGTGAAATGTATAGCTAGCTAGTTAACAAGTGTCTATTTAGTGTTGATAATTTTAACTGCCAGTGCCAATATGCGTTTAGGCTATTTCTTATGATAAACGTGTACAATGCATCAGCAGCCAAACTAGTAAGACTAAGGGGACTGCGGGAAAGTTGGGTAGCTAGAAACTAGAGAGGAGGAGCAGGTCGGCCTTTTTTACACGATTCATATTGAAGCATAGAGTTGTTTTATAGAGACATAAAACTTTATTGTACTCAATATCTTTGTACTGGAAGTCATTTTTGATAAATATGACAACCTTTCTTATAGATTGTGTTTGTTTGTGTGTGTGTGTATATATATGTGAGTGTGTGTGTATCTACAGGCCAGCAGAGGCAGAAGTATTATGACCTGATGAATGGTTCCTACATGGACCAGACTGTGCCCACAGGAGGCCCTGACCGAGTGATTTCAAAGCCCAGCTTCCACACAATCCGACACGGTACCCTCACCAAGGGCTCATCACAACCATCCAACTGTCATTTTCATGTAATATTTATGATTTACCTTTATGGTTCCTCATGCTTGAGACTCATTGCCTGCTTTTGTGTAATGTATCTATCTAATCCTCTCTTCTCATTGTTTCTGTGCAGTCTTCAGATATCAGGCGGAAGTTTTCCTCTGAGATAGCTGGCTTGGCTGCAGGGATGCTGGCACTCACCCCCGGGAGCACCAGCTCCTGCTCTGTGGACACGAGCTTCAGAAAGCAGCGTCTAGACACACCCCCCTCCTCCATGGGGGAACCCTAAACCCCAGGCTCCTCTGCTTCCTCCCTGGGAGGAGGAACGCACTATACCCCTCGCTCCTGGACTCCGTTCTCACAGGACTCGGGCTACTCTGTTCCCTCTCAGGAAATAAACGTTTTTTGAATTGAAACACCCTGTTGGGGTGACATTTTTTTGGGTCTTTGGAAGATAATAATAATACAAATAAAAAAGAACATGCATAACAGTAGTCTTGAAAACCCGACCCTGGGCAAGTGACTAGGGTCTGATTTGAATGACGGACTATTTTGGCAACTTTGATAAGGGAAAGAAAATTGTTCCGGGTGGGTCCTCTTCAGACAGACAACTTTCCCAACAAATCATGGCAACAAATCACGAGGCAAACCAAAGTTTGCAGGCAAAACCTTTGCAGTGGTTTTACTAAAGATAGTTGATGCAAACTAGCCACTTGCGAAATGCATTGGTTAAAAATAACTTTGCTAGCTACTTTTTTTGTATTTTATTCAAGCGGGTAAGTTAGTGATATAGGCAGTGACGTAGTTCCTCTATGCCAAACTTATGTTCAATTACATACAGACGCTGTTAAGTCAGAGCATTTGAAAATTGTGGTAGGCTACAGAGACTAGCAATACAGCTCAGTTAAAGTTGAGCAATTATCTACATGTTTTGTTATTATAAAAAAGTATATATATTTTTCTATTCATTATGATCACAATATTAAATGTGTCAACTTTTGCTTAATCTAAACCCTCTTTCTGTCATTGTGTTTCTGTCAGACATTCTGGACACAGCGCTGGGCCGTTGACTGGCTGTGGCTACCCTGCCCAGGACATGTTGACCTCGTCCTCCTCTGCTGTCTCCTCCTCAGTCTGGGCATACAAAGCTCCCCGTTATCTGGAGGACCCTCATGCACCTTCTCAAGACCCCTATTACAGGGGTCGCCCCACGTACCCCCCTACTGCCCCATTCCGTCCTAACAAGCCCCCGCTCTACCCCACATATCCTAACGCTGGAGGGGCTAGACAGCACATTTCACAAAACCCTGCAATGCCTCCCCCGCCCCTTGCACCTCAGGCCGACAGGGACAGAGAGAGAGACAGATACAGAGAGCGGGACAGGGACAGGTGGGATTGTCTCTAGAAGGTCACCTTACTAGAAGGCCAACTCTTCCTCAAAGTATTCCCACCACTCGCACCACTCAGAGCGAGAGAGAGGGGAGAGGGTCTAAAGACGAGACAGGCTGGGCTCCAGAGACCACGGCAGACACCGTAACCACCACTCATACAATCACAGCAGGTACCACAAGCATATTCAGTTTGTGAATAGCGAAAGATAAAATTCAGTGTTATATTGATACAAGATGTGAGTATCAGTGACAAAAAGGTTTTGCAGTGGTATCATGATACTTTGACATGTCATTGTTTTGTGGGTAATATTTTGGCATCGGGACAACCCTAATAGTGATGGGGCAAAAAATATATACAGTTACATATCGGAATATTATTTTTGACACTATATTGTATCGTTTTGACAATGTCGCAATATTATTTTTGCGCTAGTTGGCTGTACCTGCACCAAAACTCAAGTATTATAGCTTGTTCTCCATTTTCTTTTTAAAAAGGGAGCCAATTTGTTTTCAGCACTTAATTCCATGACTGATCAAAACTTGTTTTTTTCATGGCTCTCTCGTTTCTCTGAAGCAGACATACACTACCGGTCAAAAGTTTTAGAACACCTACTCATTCAAGGGTTTTTCTTTATTTTTACTATTTTCTACATTGTAGAATAATAGTGAAGACATCAAAACTATGAAATAATACATATGGAATCATGTAGTAACCAAAAAGTGTTAAACAAATCAAAATATATTATTCAAATAGCCACCCTTTGCCTTGATGATAGCTTTGCACACTCTGTCTTTGTGAGACGCGGTGTGGGTGAACGGATGATCTCCGCATGTGTTTTTCCCACCGTAAAGCATGGAGGAGGCGATGTTGTGGTGTGGGGGTGCTTTGCTGGTGACACTGTCTGTGATTTATTTAGAATTCAAGGCATTGTGGCGCCGGTAGTATGGGCGATGGACACGGATATAGAGCAGGCATTACGCACAGATCCATCTCCACCGCAGCTGCGGTACATACCTGCTTTTATCCGTGATCGTCTGATCTTCTGGGCACACACGTCACCCTCCTCTGGTCACCCAGGTATCGGCCGTACAGTGCGCTGCTTGAGCGGAAAGTACTGGTGGCCTACCTTGGCTAAGGACGTGAGAGGGTACGTCTCCTCCTCCTGTAAGCTACAACCATTACCAGTTCCACAACGACCATGGTCTCATCTTAGTATTGCTTTTCTGACTGATCTTCCCCTCTCCCAAGGTAACACCACCATCATGGTCGTTGTGGACCGCTTCTCCAAGTCCTGCCGCCTCCTTCCTCTGCCCGGTCTCCCCACGGCCCTGCAGACTGCGGAGGCCCTGTTTACTCACGTCTTCCGGCACTACGGGGTGCCAGAGGATATAGTGTCCGACCGAGGTCCCCAGTTCACGTCCAAGGTTTGGAAGAAGTTCATGGAACGTCTGGGGGTCTCGGTCAGCCTGACCTCTGGGTTCCACCCAGAGTCAAATGGGCAGGTGGAACGAGTAAATCAGGATGTGGGTAGGTTCTTGCAGTCCTACTGCCAGGACCGGCCCGGGGGAGTGGTCGGTGTTCTTGCCATGGGCTGAATATGCCCAGAACTCTCTCCGCCACTCCTCTACTAACCTAACACCATTCCAATGTGTTTTAGATTACCAACCGGTTCTGGCACCATGGCACCAGAGCCAGACCGAGGCTCCTGCGGTGGATGACTGGTTTCGGTGCGCGGAGGAGACATGGGACGCTGCCCACATTCACCTCCAGCGCGCCGTGCGTCGTCAGAAGGCCAACGCTGACCGTCACCGCAGTGAGGCCCCGTACTGGGGGATCGGGTCTGGCTCTCGACCCGGAATCTGCCTCTCCACCTGCCCTGCCGGAAGCTGAGCCCGTGGTTTGTGGGGCCGTTCAGTCCTGAGGAGAATCAACGAGGTTACGTATAGGTTGTTACTCCCCCCGATTACCGTATTAACCCCTCGTTTCATGTGTCTCTCCTCAGGCCGGTGGTGGTTGGTCTGCTCCAGGAGTCTGAGGTGCGGGAGGTTCCTCCACCTCCTCTGGACATTGAGGGGGCCCCGGCATACTCTGTCCGTGCCATCCTGGATTCGAGGCGTCGGGTGGGGGGCCTTCAGTACCTGGTGGAGTGGGAGGGGTACGGTCCGGAGGAACGGTGCTGGGTCCCGGTGAGGGATATCCTCGATCCCTCCCTGTTGCGGGATTTCCACAATCGCCATCCGGCTCGACCTGCTCCGCGTCCTCTTGGCTGTCCCCAAGGCCAGGTCGGCGCGCTGCTGGAGCTGCGCGTGGGGGGGGGGGTACTGTCACGACTTCGGCCGAGGCTGCGTCTCCTCCTTGTTCACGCAGGCTTCGGCGTTCTAACCACTGCCGCCCCAATCATCATCACAATTGTCTTGTCAATCACACACATCTGGTTCTAATCCCCTAATTAGTCCATGTATAAGTGTTCCCTCTGGCCCCTTGTCCTTGTGGGTGATTGTTTGTTTGTGGAGGTTAGTGAAGCTCGGTGGAGCTCGTGTATTTTGTATCGATGGGAATTTTCCCGTGTGCCTTGTATTTTCCAGTGAGCCTGTTTTGTGCCCTGGAGTGTGTTTGAAGCATTTATGCGTAAACCTGTATTTTTACGGATTAAAGCCTGTTATTCTGTGATTTACCCTCCTGCGCCTGACTCCTTCAACACCACCTCATCACAGGTAGTGTATGGTGGGTGAGCAATATGTTTGTTACATCGAATTCCAAACAAATCTCGGTATGGCATCGCAATACATATTGAATAGTGAGAATCGCAAAACATATCGTATCGTCACCAAAGTATCACGATAATATCCCTGGCAATTCCCAGCCCTAAACCCTAATAAAGTATGTAATTTCACATGGGTTAAGCCGCATTTCAGGTGAACTCCAGGTCCATTTTGACATGTGTAAGATGTTTGCAATCATCTGTTCGAGTGTTCATGAGTTAGTGACGGCACTTTCAATTTCAGACAAGGTTGTTTGCAATAACTGATTTCAGTGTTCATACAGAGTTTCACTAGGTCACAGTTTGTACCAGTTATGAGCTGGTATGTGCTGACTGACAGCTTTTTAGACAGCTCCTCCAGGCATTTTGCAGGGAGTTTTCCACTTTGGCTCTGTCTAAATGGGGTGGTGCAACGTTGGTGGTTTACCCAATAAATTACTGGGAGGCTGTATATAGAGTGTTCGACTCTCTTTATTAAATTTTAATAGCAAACAGTTTACTCGCCATTAGTCAGCACCTCTACCAACATTTTTTGGGTGGGCGCCAGCTGATGCTGTTTTTTTCAGTGGGGTTAATGACAGCACTTTCAATTTCACACCAATTTTAGAGAAGGCCATATTTGGACTATTTTGTTATTTTACAAGTGATACTATTTTGTATTAAAAGCAATCTAACCTCTTCCCAGTCACTTTTTTAGTAGGTGTGACAGAGTTGTATATATATAAAAACATTAAACATTAAAAGTTGTTAACATTTAAATAATCTGTTGTCATGATACTTGAATATGAATGTGTTTCATGCATGCACAATTTTATAATGTATATACAGTTGTAGTTGGAAGTTTACATACACTTAGGTTGGAGTCATTAAAACTTGTTTTTCAACCACTCCACAAATTTCTTGTTAACAAACTATAGTTTTGACAAGTCGGTTAGGACATCTACTTTGTGCATGACACAGGTAATTTTTCCAACAATTGTTTACAGACAGATTATTTCACTTATAATTCACTGTATCACAATTCCAGTGGGTCAGAAGATTACATACACTAAGTTGACTGTGCCTTTAAACAGCTTGGAAAATTCCAGAAAATGATGTCATGGCTTTAGAAGCTTCTGATAGG